GGAGGGAGCAGGGTGTTGGCTGGGGCAGGGAATCCTCGGCCCCCGCCTTCCCCATCCCACCCTCCAGAGGAGAGAAGTTCCGGCAAGAGCCTTCTCCTGGGCCTCCTCCCCCCTCCCCCGCAAAGGAGGGATGCCCCGGTGCGCGGTTCCCCCCAGCCCTCCTCCCCCCCCAGAACTCCTCCCCCCTCCCTGGCACACGGTGCCCCCCAGAACTCCTCCCCCCTTCCCCACAGAGGGGGGAGCCCTGGTGCGCACGTCCCTTCCCCTTCTCCCCCCAGGAGGAAAGCCCTAGTGCGCACTTCCCCCTGCGACTCCTCCCCTCTCCCCCCACAGAGGAGAGGAGTCCCGGCGCGCTCTTTACCCCCAGGATTCCTACCTCCTCCCCAGCACGCGCTTCCCCCTGGGACTCCTACCTCCTTCCCTGCAGAGGAAGGGAGCCCCGGTGCGCGCCTTCCCTCTCCCCACCCCCGACCCTGGAAGCCCCCAGCATGAGCCTTCCTTCGGGACTCCTACCTCCTCCCGGTGCGCCACAGACCTGGAGGAGTGGAGCAGGCAGCACACTTCTGGAAACCCCGGAAGTGGTGCGCAGCTGCCAGACTTTCCTCCACCCCCCGGGCCTCCATTTTCGAAGGTAGATAGTGGGGCTTCTTGGGGGGTGGGTGGAATCAGGGGAGCCCCGAACGCCTCGCAATCAATTGGTCGAGCCGTCCCGATCAACCAGTCATCGCGATCAATGGGTTGGTGACCACGGCTATAAAGTATGTCTGATATCATCATATTAAACAGACTAAAATGCAATGGTAACTGGAGTTTAGTTAAATTATTTTATATTCCTTTGGAATAATTTTTCAAATATGAATTTTTATACAGTGAAATTATTGTTACATTAATGATGCAGATCAAGACTTCAGTGTTAAGGCTGATATTTTTAACTTGCTTTAGGAATACACTATAATAAGCTAATGCCTTAGGCTTATCTAAGGATGGAGTCATGCTTGGAACATGTATTTTTAACTTATGACCGTGTTGTGCCCTGTTCTGTTGTCCTTTATACATGTTTTACAGCAAGTATTAGACCGAGTAAGTCGGATGACTCAGGGAGACTTGGTGATGTCAATGGATCAATTGTTGACCAAACCTCACTTGGGAACTTGTCACAAATTTTACATGCAAGTGTTCCAATTACCAAACGGTGAGTAAAACCAGGATGTTCTAGCTCATTTGCCCAAGATGGAGTTGCAGTGTGGATTAATAATTTACTAATACTGCTGTATTAAGCAGAATGTCTTGACTATCAAGTAATTGAAATGAATGAACAAAGGTTGACTGGGCTGTTAGCTTTGCTACACAAGTTTTGATGTTTACAAGAACGAATACAAAGAATTCTATATCTAATATCTTGCAAAAATATGAAGATTGATATTATGCTGATCTCTGTATACCACTCGTGAAACTAGCATCTAGCAAAGGGACAAAAACTAATTTAGTGAGGAGCTAATCGAAGAAACTGCAGGTATAATATTTTTAACTTTTTAATTATGGAAACAGAAAGCCGTTCAGGAAAGGAGACAGCAAAAATGAATACCTTATATGAGACATTAATTTAAAGCTTAGTCCAGTTGATTACCTAGCAATGGGCCGCATTTCATAGAATCATATGGTTGGAAGAGACCTCAGGAGGTTGAGTCCATACCTCATTTCCTTCTAACCATCTCTCTGTTCTTTTAGCTGGAAGGAAACCAAGTCAAGGCATTTACTTTTAAGGTTGGTAAGCTTTAGAAAAACATGAGTTAAAGTGGAATAGGTAATGGAATTCCCATCACTGGAGGCTTTTAAGAACATGCTAGACAAATACATAAACCATCCCAGACAAGTGTATTTAATCTTGCCTCAGCTTGGGGTAAGGATGGTTGAAATAAACTTTGATGTGTATTCCAACCCTTCATTTCTATGATTTAGCTTAATCTTTGGTATACTGGGACATATCTATTTATTTGTGCTGTCCTGACTGCATTCAAAATGTATAGCAATTTGACTGGCAAAGTGAGAGACAGCGGAGGCTAACTTTTCCACAAAGAAACTCCAAAAATGTACAGTTAGAGCCACATCCTTGGTTTGGGCTGGGCATGAGTTCCTGCCGCGATGTTGCAATAAGTGGTAGTGCTGCTAGTTCCAACTCTTAAATCATAATTAGCATTCACTTTTTTCATAGGAAACATTTCAGTTCTGCTGTTTAAGTATGAAATATGAGAATTGCTTGACCCTCACTGTTTTTCTTCTAACTTTTTTAGATCAAACAAAAACCTTAATGTTTTTTGAAGGGTGCGCACCACACTTGGGCTGCACCATCAAACTGCGTGGAGCTGCAGACTATGAACTGACCCGAGTGAAAGAGATCCTTATCTTTATGGTCTGTGTGGCTTATCATTCCCAGCTGGAAATTTCTTTCCTTATGGATGAGTTTGCCATGCCCCCTACTCTCACTAAAAACAGCTCTTTCCAGACACTGATTGAAAGCCAAGGAGATGAAAATGAGCACCAAGACCTCTTTAATGGTGAGGAGTTTAGCATACTCCTCAAAGATGTTGATCTCTTCTCTGAAAAAATGCCCATGGTCTCTGATTCTGTCTCCTCTGATGAGGCTAGCACACTAGAACAAAGAACTTTGCTTGAAGAAGATCAAGATGATGATGTCCTGCGAGAGGGATCCTCTTTAAAACTCCAAGATCATCTCAGAATAGAGTATTTACTGCCAGTACCAGAATCCCAACTACCTTTCCAAAGTATGGAGCAACATCCACACACTCTATATAGTGAGCATCTGGAGATTCTGCAAGAGCCAGGTGACCTTCGGGATTCTAAAAGCCAGATGAGAGTCTTTAGAGACCCTCTACAGGATGACACTGGATTGTATGTCACGGAGGAGGTGATTTCCTCTGAGGATCGTCTCAAGGCCTGCTCCTTAGCATTTAAACAAGAGCTGAAAGATGTTATTCTCTGTATCTCACCTGTGATAACATTTCATGAACCTTTTCTTCTAACAGAGATTGGCATGAGGTGCCCTGTCCGGGACTACTTCCCAGAGCAGGTCTATTTGTCTCCTCTCCTCAACAAAGAGTATAAGGAGCTGGAAAGCAGAAGGAAGAAACAGCTGTTAAGGGATCTCTCTGGATTGCAAGGGATAAATGGAAGTATCCAGGCAAAGGCCATCCAGGTTTTGCCCGCCCATGAGCTAGTTAACACTAGAATTGCAGAACATCTCAGTGATAGCCAAAGCTTGGCCAGAATGCTGTCAGATTACCGGGCCAGAGGAGGAAGGATACAACAGAAAAATACAGATCCCTTTGCCCAGTGTAAAGATGCATCTGGTGTTCCTGGAGGAAAAGTTGGAGGCAGAAATGAAGAGGATGAGAGTGGATTGGTTCAGGATGAATCTATATGGTCTCATAAGGTAAGAATCTCTCAGTTTCTATCTTCTGTCTTGTTTAGTGGTAGGAGAAAGAACATACATCTGAACATTGTATTTGGGAACAGGCCAGGCATAACAAAAATACATATTGGACTGCAGTGCTTTTGGTCAACTTGGATGTCAGCTTGTTTAATCACTACACTGTGTTCCCTGATTGTGAGAGATGCAGACCTGAGGGTTTCGGCCAGGGAGAGCTCTCCAGGCATATGCTCTTTGAAACATCAGGAAGAGCAAGAAACTTGATACATCTCATTATCAGCTCAGTTTTACATGCTGGGATGAAAGTGCTTGTGTCCACATTGAGGGCGAAGTGGGAGATGGAAAAGAGAACAATTGCTCATCTATTTGAGAAATGGGGCTTCCATCTGTTTTAAAGCTAGCTGGCTGTTTTTTTTTCTCTATTTACTGACTGCTAATGTTGATATTGTCTCCTTGTGTGTTTGCTAGCAGCTGGTCATGAATGGTGTCCAGTAAGAATAAAGGTCAGCATTGGGAGGTGTAATTGCAAAATATTTTTAAAATATCTCCTTATATTTTAAATATCTGATCCAGATTAGTTGGAGAAAGTTGTCAAGAGACTCTTGATGATGTAATCATAACCTTTTCCTTAATTATACTGTTTTTTAAATATTCATTATTTGTGTCCAAAAACACTTGTGGAGATTTTTTTTTCTTTCATGAGGCAGCATGTTTTCTTAGTTTGATCTCTTTATTGCATCAGAAGTGATGCTAAGTGATGCTTTTTTTGCCCAGGAAGCTGTGGATTCTGGCACAAATTAACGAACCTCACTTTAGAGCAAACAAGTGAATAGTTGCCAGGCCAGTACCCCTGTACAAAAATATCTTCACTGGTTGAGGTGTGTGTGTGGGGGGGGGGAGGATATTGAAATTTTAGCAGCTGAATAGTCTGTTCAGAAGATGGTAATGGGAGATGGGGGTTGGTTCTGCCTTATGTATTCTGAATAACTGAGATCCTGTGATTAAGTAAAATGTTTTCTCCCCTTTACAAGGAGGTAAGCAGCAAGTGTCAAGATTTCTTGTTAAGAGGGTTAAAATGCACCACATTTGTGGATTAAAGACCCCCTCAAACTGTCACAGACTGCTTAAAAGTCCACTTGGGCTTTTGATTCCTTAAATTGTTGTACCTAATTGGTTATGCTTGATCTTAAAAGTCATCCTTGCATAAGGCTATATCTATACTGCTGCGGGGATTGATGCTCTCCGATCAATCTACCAGTGGTTTATTTAGCAGTTCTAGTAAAGACCCTCCAAATCAACAGCAGGTCACTCTCCAGTCGATCCCCTTACTCTATCCCAGACAAGAAGAAGAGAAAGATAAGTTGACAGGAGACTTTCTCCTGTTGGCCCCTGCAGTGTAGACCCCAGAGTAAATCCATTTAAGGTACATCACCTCTAACTAGGTTATTCATGTAGTTGAAGTTGTGTGACTTATGTCTACTGCAGAAAGTCGACCTAAGTAAAATCAACCTACAGCTCTTGATTAACTTAATCTCCTGAGGAATGTAAATCTGGCAAATAGGACAAACATGGAATCTCTTGCTGAATAAAATTCCATTCTATGCACCTTTTAGAGTGTAAACTATTTTGTATTGATGAAAATGTATGGTTGTAACTGACTAATGGTTTGTCTTGTCAGGTGGACTGTCTGAGTCCAATAAACCATCAGAGGCTCTGTGTTCTTTTCAGTAGCTCATCTGCCCAGTCCAGCAACGCTCCAAGTGCCTGCGTTAGCCCATGGTATGAAATTAATTTCTTTTCTATGGCTCATTTAAAATACAAATTTTAAGTCCTAACCTCTTGTTTTATGTAAAGACAAGTTGCTAATTCCTCTGTATAGCTAAATAAGAACTCAAGTGAAGGCACCTTAGCCTTTTTTAAAGTTAGTCATGCATTAAGCTGTGTATGACTAGATAGATTTGAGAAATGTCACTTAACCTTTGTAAAGGTTAATAAGGCAATAAAAAGAACAGAAGGCCCAACCTGTAATTCAGTGTTCTAACTAATCACAGCTTTTGTTATGTGGGCCTGATGAAAATCAACTTGCAGTATTTAAAGAAGCAACTGAAGCTCTCTTGAAAGTGTTAGCAGTTATCTTTGAGAGCTCGGAGAGGAAGGGAAAGATCCCAGAAGACTAGAGAAGAGCAAATATAGTACCTAAGTTTAAAGGAAGAATTAGACAAGTCAGCCTAACTTTAATATCAGGAAAGAATGAAACAAATAAACAATTGGCAATTTGCAAGCACCTAGAGAATAGGGTAATAAGGAATTGCCAGCATGGATTTGTCAAATAAATCATGCCAAAGTACCTTAAATTCTGTATCTCACCTGTCAGGCTTTTTGTCAGGCTTACTGGCTTGTGGCTGAGAGGAAGCAATAGGCATGAATAACTTGATTTTTACTAAGGTTTTTGTCATGGTTCTAGAAAACATTTTCATAACAAATAGGGAAAATGTGGTCCAGATGAAATTACTATAAGGTGGGATGTACAACTGGTTGTTCTCCTACATTTTCATTATTAATGTGGATAATGGTGTGGGGAGTATGTTTATAAAACTTGCAGATGATGCCAGGGTGGGATGCCAGGGTGGGAGGAATTGCAAGTATGTTGGGGAACAGGATTATAATTTAAAATGAACTTCACAAATCTGAGACTTTGGTCTGAAATCAACAAGATGAAATTCAGTAAACCTAAGTAAGTGCACTACATTATGAAGGAAATAAAAGCACAACTACAAAATTTGGAGAAACTAGCTAGATGGTGTCACTGGTGAAAAGTATCGGGGGGAAGGAGGGTGATCACAAATTGAATTCAAGTGAGCATTAGAGGCTGTTGCAAAGAAGGGTGGTAATCTGATGTGAGTGTTAACAGGAGTGTCTTATAGGTTGGTATTAGTGAGGCCTCAGTTGGAGTATTGTATCCACTTCAGGATGCCATGCTTTGGGAAAGATGTAGAGGAACACAAATGGTAAAAGATTTAGCGAATCTGATTTATGAGGGAAAGTGAAAAACCTGGGCATATGTAGTCCTAAGAAAAGAAGATCCAATAAATCTTCAAATATGTTTAAAAGCTGTTTTAGAAAGGAGACAGTGATAAATTGTTTTCTATGTCTTCTGAAGGTAGGACAAAAAGTAATGGACTTAATCTTTATCAGGGGAAATTTAGGTTATAGATTAAGAAAAACTTTCTAACTATAAGGGCACTTAAGCTCTGAAACAAGCTTCTAAGTTGGTGGAATCCCCATCATTGGAGATTACTAAGAAGAAATTGGACAAACACCAGTCAGGAATGGTCTGGATTCACTTTGTCATGGCTCAACAGAGGGAGTTGGATTTGATAATTTCTCAAGGTCCCTTGCAGCCTTACACTTTTGTGAGTCTGCCTATTTTAGTTTGGGAATGAAAGCAGAATTTCTGCTGCGCACGTTGGAACTTTTACATCCAGAATTAATACAGCTTTACTCCTCTATAGCTGTGGGTCTCAAACCTGTGGCCCGCCTCATTTAACGTAAATCTTTCTGCAGACCACCAGCCAACCACCTATGATGAAAAAATGGGTGCAGGAAAGGCTAGAGATGCAAGATCTGGATTGGAGGGAGGGTGCAAGAGCAAGCCGAAGGTGGGGTCTGGGTGGATGGGAGGGAGGGTGAAGGAAGAGGCCCAGGGCGAGGTGTCTGGCTCTGAGGTTGGGTCCAAGAGTGGGCTGAGGGTAGAGTGATCTGGTCAGAAGGGAGGATGCAGGAGAAGGGTGGGAATGTGGGCTCTTGGTGGGAAGGTGTTTGTGTATGTGAGGGTGATAGGAATGGGGTCTGGCATGAGGGGCATAGGAAACACATGGCTTCTGGCCAATGGGAACAGCAAGGAAAGCCTCTAGGGCTGTGTCCAGACTCGGGTTTTTTCGGAAAAAGTAGCCTTTTTCCAAAAAAACTTCACCTGCGTCTAGACTGCAGCTGCGTTCTTTCGAAATTAAATCGAAAGAACGCGGCTTTTCTTTAGACGGTGGTAAACCTCATTTTACGAGGAAGAACGCCTTTTTTCGAAAGTGCTCTTTCAAAAAAAGGCGTTCTTGAATGCAAACGGGTTTTTCAAAAGAGAGCATCCAGACTGCCTTTCGAAAAAGCGGCTTGCTTTTTCGAAAGTTCCGCTTGCAGTCTAGACGCTCTTTTTCGAAAGAGGCTTTTTCAAAAGTATCTTTCGAAAAAGCCTCTTTCGAAAGAGGCTTGCAGTCTAGACATAGCCTAGGAAAACTGTTTGCTGCACTGCTGTTCCCCCAGACATAGGAAGGAGCAGTGGCAGTATATGGAGTATCTCCCGTCCCCCACAAGCTGGATCTGGGCTCTCTCCTTGCCCCCTCCCCCCTGCAGCAGGAAGCCAATGCTGGTGCTCTAGCCTTGTTGGGGGGATGGGGCTGACGCCCCAGCGCACACTCTGCAAAGCGGGGATGGGAATGGAGGAGGGGGCAACTCTCAAGCCTGCAGTCCATCTGCAAGACGGTCACATACCACTAATGGTCCTCAGTTACACTTTGAGAACCACTGCTCTAGAGGGGTCAGGCATTTCTTCGTAACAAGTAGCATTTCATGTTTAAATTCTACAGCCTTAGCTGTGAGCCTGCCAGTTACTGGCAGACTTTTTATATTAATCCTTAGCTATTCACTGGGTAGGGCTTGTCCCCAAAGAGTGTAGCTAATATCAGGAATGGTGTGGGTTCTTTTAGGATTAGTTCATTCAGCACTGCCTGTACAAAACTGAATAATTAGCTAGCAAAGACTTTTAAAAACACATTATAAAGCAACAAATAAAGATGCAAAATTGAGTCTAGCTAAAACGTCCAAAATTGGGTTATTAAAAAGCGTTCTCTAAATCAATATTTAGGTACCTAAAATGGATGTTCATTTTTTCCAAAGTTGCTGAGCATCAGAAGCACCCATTAAAGTCTTTAGGAGTGGATCAGCTGGGAAGCTGTGTTCAGCACATCTGAAAATCATGACTTAAAATATTGGTTGAAATGACTAACTTTAGATACCCAAGTTTGGAAGTTTTTGGCCATGATCTTAAAAGGCACAATTGTATGGTGTTTGAGATACATGAAATTACTCATGAGCGTTCCACGTTGTGATCATTCCTGTAATGTACGCCTCTCAAACCAGTATAAGATCCTTCCACTTAAATTCTTTTTGTTCTTCCTCTGCTTCAGGATTGTGACAATGGAGTTCTATGGAAAAAATGATCTCACTCTAGGAGTGTTTTTAGAACGGTATTGTTTCAGGTAGGAACTTTCTTAAAAGCATGTGAGAATTCTAGTGCAAAAGTCTTCAGTAGTGTTATCAGATTGTGAAATGTGTTTATGCATGTACATAATATGTTGTTATGCAAACAATTCTTTATAAACCACGAGTTTTAAAACGTGTGCTGTTAAAATCTTTGATAAACATTATTTTTAGAGATGGTTCTACTGAATAGGTCTTCTATATTTCTTTTTTCATTTTATTAGGATGCTTACAGCAAAATAGGAAGTATGTTTCTTAAGCAGGGTGGATTGATTTAAATAAAAAAAAAATCAAGGTTTAAATCAAGTTTCCAATTTCTTGAACAACAAACAAAAACAACACATCAGTAAACATGTATTTTTTAAATGGTTTTGCTCAAGCACTGAAATGTATTATGACTGGTAAAACTGAGGAGTGATTTTTGAAATGCCTATGGCAGCAGCAACATCTTCAGAAGTTAAGCATCTACCTTTATATCTGGTGTCTTGACTGTTTTCAAGAAAATGAGGTGGAGTTAGTGTTTGATTCATTCTCCTATTTATTGACTTCAGTTTATTTTCCTGGTGAAAGATTTATTTTGTCAAAGTCTCTTGAAGTGTACCTTCCAAATTTCAATAGCATGAGCTATGCAGCAGCAATTTTTCTAAAGTTTAAGACTATGAGTAATAAGCTTCAGTATACCAGGCATACTATCTACATTCTTCTTTAATCCAATGTTAGATACTTTGGATGAGATACTTCTATTTAATCCTGATTTTTTTTAATGCAAAATTCTATGAGAAATAGGCCTATTCTTCAAAAAGGCCTATTGTTCAAACCAATCAACCACAGAATTCCATCAAACATCTTGAGGGAGAATTTGTTTGGATCCTCCTGCTCTCTTAGTGAAGCTGAAGCAAAATGGTTCTTACAGAAGTATTTTGTGACTTCAACAATATTTTCCTTTATTCCTGAAGAAGATATACTTAAACCCCTCTGCCATGTATATTGGCCAAACTGGAGAGTCTCTGCGACAGAAGATAAATGGACACAAATTAGACATCAGGAATGGTAACACATTTTAACCTACCTGGACATTAGATAAAAGATTTAAAAGTAGTGATTCTTATACAAAGAAATTGTATCACCCAATTAGAGAGAGAGGGATTGCTAACCTGGAATTCATTTACAAATGTGATACTGTTGACCTAGGCGTGAATAAAGATATTTACTGGTTAACGAATTATAAAGGCAATTTCCTCTGCTTTTGATATTTACTTTTCACATAAAAGCTATGAATGGGACACATCCAGCCTACTTACTTAGCTTCATTAACATGGGTTCTGCAATTGACAGATAACTGTTTTTGCTGTTGTATATACCTTGGGAGTCTTTCATTTCCACTCCAACTCACCTGATGAAGTGGGTTTTACCCATGAAAGCTCATAATCCTATATATTAGTCTCTAAGGGTATGTCTACACTGCCACCCTAGTTCGAACTAGGGTGGCTAATGTAGGCATTCGAAGTTGCAAATGAAGCCCGGGATTTAAATATCCCGGGCTTCATTTGCATCTTGCTGGGCGCAGCCATTTTAAAGTCCCTGTTAGTGCGGACTCCGAATTAGACTAGTTCGAATTAGGCTAATGGGGATTTAAAAATGGCGGCACCCAGCAAGATGCAAATGAAGCTCGGGATATTTAAATCCCGGGCTTCATTTGCAACTTCGAATGCCTATATTAGCCACTCTAGTTCGAACTAGGGTGGCAGTATAGACATACCCTAAGGTGCCACAGATGTACTCTTTTAAAGTTGCAGACTAACACGGCTACCACTCTGAGACTTTGTCTTTCGCTAAAAGATTCATTTAAATTGACACTTCAGCCATACATTATTTAAGGAGTACTCATGTTTCTTTTGAAATATCTTCTCATTTGCCATGTTTTCAGCATTGACTGAGACAAAGCTATGCATATAACAGTTGAATTTTTGTTCAGTCTACTACAGCTTTCACTTTGATTTCTTGTAAATATTCTGTTGTGTGGGCTTTCCCAGTATATTTATTTCTGAAAGAGAGGCAACCCCATCTTCTGTTGTCATGCAGGCACATTATTACTAGATCATTGGGTACACCAAACCACCAAAGCTTAAGCTGGCAAAGAGGGTCGGCTCTTTTTCCTGCCACCAACGGACGAGATTGGTGCAACCAACCGATCCAATCATGAGACTTCGACGCTGACCAGGCCAGAACTGTCTCAGCACCTGGGCACCTCAGTGAGAGCATCTTCACTGGCACTGTGCTCACCATGGGTTGATATGGGCATTTCACTTGAGCTCCCCATATCGCTGGTGTTTTTGGTGCATAGTGATTTCAGTTACCAAAACCAAAGGAGTGTTTTTTCTTCACAGCACTCTTCACCCACCCAGTCATGTCCCTCCTCTCACAGGAATAGATCTCAGTAACTCCATCAGCTGCTGTGGTATGCCCAAGGGCCCTATCTTTCACACTATCCTGTGCAGTGGCTGCTATGGGATCTTTGGGATAATACAGCATTCCACCGCACCATCCACTCTGGCAAAAAGACCCTCGCCGCCATGTCAGTCTCTTCTCTAAAGTTCACCCCCATGCTAAACTACCACATTTCAAGTTCATGGCATAGGACAAAGATCATAAGAGGTTGGACCTCTTTGGCCATAAAATATACTCCTTTGCCACACTACAGTTCAGAATTACAAACTACTCCACCTTATTAACCAGTTATAACTTTGGTAACTATTTAAAGCTGGCAGAGTTCATGGAACATTTCACGAGCCATAAATGTCTTATATTAAAGGTGATTTTTAATCATTGATTTTTATCCACCCTTTTCTTTAGTCTTTTCCATTACTTCTGCTACCTTCTAAGAAATGAAAATGTGCTCATTGTTACCGCCTTCTTACCCCTTTGTTTACTCACCAGTTGAATTTTGTCATATTCCCTGCCTCAGACAGCTTACAAACATGGCAATCTTAACAAAATATTTGTAAAATACTTGTCACAGTGGGGTCCAAGTGGAATCCTTACATAGTACTGTATTGCAAGAATCTGTCCTCTCCAAGGCAGTTAGTTATGTTGGTCATAATCCTCTGTTTTTACAAGTTGCTATGGAACTTAAGGTGAGATCTTCAGCAGGTACAAATTCCTTAGGAATAATGCTCCTGTTTCATACATATTTGGAAAAAAACATACCACCTTAATATTATCAGAATGTCTTATGCTGATATCTTTCGAAAAATATCTTTGGAGGGTCTGATGCAAACTTTTAGAACCTACTGGCTTTTGGTAAACAGCCTGGTATGTGTCTCACGTACAAAATTTCAAATGTTTAAAAAAAATATAGCTCAAAAGTTGCCCACTGTGTTTGTGTGTTCATTTTTTAAAAATTGAGCCACTTGCTGTTCTTGAAACAGTGATTGGCGAAGGGTATCAGTACTTCACCAGTCAGAGGGGAAAGCTGATGCTAGCAATGGATAAAAATCTGTGAAGTTACTGAGCGAAGGCTCTTTGAAGTATCTGATAACCAGTGGATGGCCAATTTTTTCAGAAGGCACCTGCTTAGCCTTGAATTCATAAATATGCAAACACCTAAGCTAGTTTCTGTTTCCACGTGGGAGCTCAGCCCTTTTGAAAATATTTTTCCTCATTTGAGTGCCTAAATATAGGTTTGGGAGCTTAATTTGAAGCACCAATTTTTTTTTAATTTCAACCTGCAGCAACGGATCTCACTGGCTACGTCTATACTGAGCTCTCTTGCGCAAGAAAATATGCAAATGAGGCAAAGCAGTAAATATCGCCACGCTTCATTTGCATACTTAATGAGCTGCCATTTTTGTGCCAGGGGCTTTTGCGCATAAAGGAGCCATCTACACAGCTCCTTTTTGTGCAAAACCCCCCTCTTGCGCAAGAGCCATTCTTCTTCCATTGATTGCTTAGCTGTATTCCAATATAGGTGTGTGCACGCAGCGTGCACACGCCATCAGAGACTTTTTCCCTCAGCAGTATCCCTGGGGCCAGCAGGGAGCCCCCTGGAGTGGTGCCGATATATTGGCCCATATAGACCCCTGCTGGCCCCCTGACCCACTCAGTTCCTTCTTACCGCTGTGACGGTCGTTTGAACAACCCACAGCTCATCTTCGAGTTGTTTTTTCACTGTTCTTCTCCTTTGTTTCCAATATTCAGTTAAGTACCTGTTAATTTAGTTAGTCTTTTATTTGTTGTTTCTTTTTACCCTGCCGTGGCGTGCCATGTGCTCATGGCAGACCATGCCCGGCCAGCAAGGCTTTAAGCCCTGTAAGAAGTGCAACAAATCTATGCCATGTGGTAATCCACACTCATCATGTTTGAAGGGCCTGGGAGAATCACATATTACAGACACATGCAAGATTTGTAAGGCATTCAAGCCCAGGACCAAACAAGAGCAAGAGTCATGGCTCAAGGTGCTCCTGATGGAGTCGGCACTTTGGCCGGCTCCGGCACCGAGCTCTAACAGTGCACCGGCCTCAGTGCGTGACAGTCTGCACACTGTGCCTCCCCGGTACTGCATAGGGCCAGACATCACTCCCAGTCACCTGTACTGTTCCAGAAGAGGAGGCCTAACGGGTTAGTCCCTGCCCAGGCATGAGCCCTCCATGCGCTCTACAGTGGGGCACACAGCGTCAGCCAGTCCACAGCCCAGGCCATCTAGGTCGGGTGACTACTCTTCCCATCGGAGGGATGTGAGTCCTTCAGAAGATCTCCCAGACCCATTCACCCTGGAGGATTTGGAGGCAGCAAGGGTCCTTATAGACTCTTCTCCCTCTCCTCCACCCACTCCGGGACCCTCAAGACGGCACGGGGATGCCCGGTACCGGTCCTCTCCTAGGGTGCCTGGTGACACGGGACATGAGGTGCGGCAGAGCCATGTGACACATGCAGCACCTCCCCCAGTACCAGTTACTGTGACACTGGTGCCATTGCCACCGGCACTGGCAACAGATCTGGCACCGGATGCAACGTGGATTGCCTGCCCGGCACTGTTATTGGCCCTGGCACCGCGACATCTACCGTCAGGGATACCGTCTCGACCATGCCTCCTCCATCATCTCGGCACTGTGGCAAGCCAGAAGCCATGTCTCGGTACGCCGCAGGGCAGTTAACATCGGCATCGGCACCGCCATGGCCACCTCAGAGTACTCCTTCAACTTGGACACGGACTCTGCATGATCTTCCTGGGGTTCTTGGGCCCATTCACGTCATTGCTCCCGGCACTGGTCCTGGCACCGTACTTCCCCACCCCGGTACCAACAACAGTAGGCTCAGCTGATCCCTGTGCCAGTGGTCCAGCAGACATGGCCACCTCAGCCACCCGGGAAGTGGCCTTTTTGGACCCAGTGGGCCTACCATCAGGGCTAGGGAGTGAACCCTCCTAGACCGGCTTCTGTCACATCAGGTCCACGAGTCCCTCCATCGGCGACTCCTTTGGTCTGGTCCCCCACACTGACCCACTCGCTACCTCCGGGCCAGTCGTTCCCAGGCCCAGGGAAGAGCGCGGCTTTAGTGAGCCAACCTCTCCCCGCTCCTTATGTGGCCACTTTGGACGATCCAGGCTGGACAGATGCCTCTTTGGGCGATATGGGAAAAGGATCATTGTCCTCCTCTTTGGACGAGGCACTGGCCGACTCTATGCCATCCTTGCCCTCCATGGATGCCAGGGCCCACCAAGACCACCTCCACCACCTGGCCTAAAGTCTGGGAGTCCAGGCGGGACAAGGTATCTCAGGACTCGGACCCAACGATCAACATCCTGCACGCAGATACCCCCTCCAGAGTGGCGTTGCCAATCAACAAAACGGTGGCCAAGATTTTGGCAATCTTGTGGCAGACCCCAGCGTCCATCCCGCTCACCGATAAGTGTGCGAAACAAGGTATTTTGTCCCCCAGGAGGGTAATGAACACCTTTTCACCCATCCTCCCCTGGGGGCTCATTAGTAGTCCAGGCAGTCAACCAAAGGGAGAGGCAGGATTAGCTTGCAGCTATCCCTTAGAACAGGGAAGCAAATAAGGCTGATCTACTGGGCAGAAAAGTCTATGCAGTACCGAATTGCCAACCAACAAGTTTTTCTGTCCAGATATGCTTACAACACCTGGGCATCAATGGATAAGTTTACAGACTTGCTTCCCAAAGACTCCCTTGTGGAACATAGGGCCCTTCAGGAGGAGGGGAGAATAATTTCTTGAACGGCGCTACAAGCAGCACTCGATGAGGCTGATGCAGCTTCTCTAGTCATGGCCACTGGAGTGGTCCTGTGTCGCAGTTCATGGCTCCAGAGTGCCGCCAGATGTCCAAAATACCTTGCAGGACCTCCCTTTCGAAGCCATATTGCTCTTCTCTGAGAACCAACCAGTGGCTTCATGGCCTGAAGGACACGAGAGCCACATTAAAGTCATTGGGCCTTCACACATCTGCCAACCAAAGGCGTTCATATATTAATAGGAACACCCCTAGAATGCCTCCACAGGGCCCATGCCCTGATTTTACCTGTCGTTGGGGCAGGGATGATAATGGCAGAAACAATAGGCCTCGCCCAGCTCTGGATTCCAACCGGGGACCCTCCAATAAGCCTCCGGGTCACAACTGGGCTTTTGATGGGACCCCCAAGGGCTTCTTACCAATCTCCCCGTTACCCTTCTGGGACCGTTTATCCTGTTTCCTCCAGGCCTGGCGGTCTGTTACTTCAGACCGATGGGTTCTGGAGATAATGGAAATGGGCTAAGTAATCCCCTTCCACTCGCCCCCTCCTTTCTAATCCCTTACCCCATCCCTTTTCAGGGACCCCTCTCATGAGCTTCTGTTACAGAAGGAGGCTCGCCACCTTCTCACCTTGGGTCTAATCCCTTACCCCATCCCTTTTCAGGGACCCCTCTCATGAGCTTCTGTTACAGAAGGAGGCTCGCCACCTTCTCACCTTGGGGACGGTAGAACGAGTTTCTAAACAGAGGATTTTATTCCCACTATTTTCTGGTTCCAAAAGCAAAAGGTGGCCTTCACCCAATCCTGGACCTCAGAGCTCTAAACCTCTTCATCGTCAAGACAAAATTCAAAATGGTTACTCTGGCGTCCATTGTTCCTTCCCTAGCCCCCAGAGACTGGTACGCTGCCCTCAACTTAAAAGACCCTTATTTTCATGTTTCAATTGCCCCCTTCCACTAAAGGTTCCTGCGATGCACTGTGGGCCAGGACCACTACCAATTCATGGCCCTCCTCTTTGGTATGGGAATGGACAGACTCTATCCACATGTCTGACAACCCGTCCTCCAGTGGGACCTAAAGCTGACGCTATCCAAACTTATGGGCCCTTCGTTCGAACCGCTAGCCACGTGCTCCCTCCTTCACCTATCATATAAGGTGTCCTTCCTAGTAGCAATCACATCCGTGAGGCAGGTGTCTGAGCTTAGGACACTGACGTCCAATCCCCCTACACAGTATTTTTTTAAAGACAAGGTCCGGCTCCGCCCTCACCCAGCTTTTTTGCCGAAGGTAGTTTCTGCATTCTACACTTCCCAGGATATTTTTCTACCAGTTTTTTTTCCCCGAAACTGCATGCGTCTGGGAAAGAACAAGCTTTACACATGTTAGATGTCCATACGGCGTTAGCCTTTTATTTAGACAGGACCGTTCTGAAAATCACCACAACTTTTTGTAGCCATCGCGGAATGCATCAGAGACCAACCTGTATCCACTCAGCAGATTGCCTCATGGATAACCGCATGTATCAGGCAGCGCTACTCTCTAGCAGGCATTTCAGCCCCGACCCTTAGCGCACATTCCACGAGAACTGTGGCAGCTTCCACCGCTTTCGCAGCGCAGGTTCCCATCCTGGACATCTGTAGGGCTGCCACATGGTCCTCGGTCCACACGTTTGCCAACCATTATGCTCTGTCCCATCAGGCCAGAGAGGATGCTGCCCTAGGTAGGGCGGTTCTTAACTCCTCCATGGTTTCGACATCCAGCCCCCCATCTAGTTAGGTTCTGCTTTGGAGTCACCTATATTGGAATGCACATGAGTAATCACTCAAAGAAGAAAGAACGGTTACTTACCTCGTAACTGATTCTTCAAGATGTGTTGCTTATGTCCATTCCAAATCCCTGCCCACCGCCCTTTATCTGGAATATGCCGGTAAGAGCAGAGTGGGTGAGGGGGCCAGCAGGTGTCTATATGGGCTGATATATTGGCTCCCTTCTGGCTCTAGGGATACTGCTGAGGGAAAAGTCTCTGACGGTGCGTGTACGCTGCATGCACCTATATTGGAATGGACATGAGCAACACATCTCGAAGAATCACAGTTACGAGGTAAGTAACCGTTCTTTCTGCCTGAAAAAAAGCCATGTAGACCGCTCCTTTTTGCGCAAAAGCCCCTTGCGCAAAATGGCAGCTCATTAAGTATGCAAATGAGGCTTGGCGCTATTCACTGCTTTGCCTCATTTGCATATTTTCTTGCGCAAGAGAGCACAGTTTAGACGTAGCCCCTGTGTATAAGCATAAAATGTTAAAGATAATTTAGAAGCAGGTTGGAAGCTTGCTTATTCTGTACATCTTGGAAGGTGGGTTTACTGCAGCGTGATGACACTGAAAGATATGCTAGTGCCACTGATGGTTCCCTTTCAAGATTGTCACATGTAACATACTTCCTCACAGCTGAATGCCTCCACTTCTTTTCTTTAAGGCCTTCCTACCAATGCCCCAGCATGTTTTGTGAAACACCGATGGTGCACCACATTCGTCGCTTTGTCCATGGGCAAGGCTGTGTGCAGATCATACTGAAAGAGCTGGACTCCCCAGTTCCTGGATACCAGCACACAATCCTTACCTACTCCTGGTGTAGATTGTGCAAACAGGTAAAGGTGCTATGGTAGCTGAATCCCTCATATGATAGTTCTTCACACAATGGGCAGTGCTTTCAGAAACCTGTATGTTCACTGAATTAGCAGGAACAGTTTATGATCCTTATGAGTGTTTATCAGATGTAACTAAGACTAACCTTACATAACCCACTGATGCTATTGGGTGTAGTGGTCCTAGAATACTATACCACTGGAGAAATGTCTGTTTCCTGCTTGAAAAAGGCTGTTAAATCTCTTCTTGAAACAGAAATACTTTTTGATAATGGTGCTTGGGACAGTTTGCCACTCCCCATGCTTTACGAAATGGATTTAATGCAATGTACACAAATGTACATAACTGAGAGGTGCTTTGAGCAAATTACTTCATGTAACTTATCAATCTTCACGTCTTAATCTGCTGGATCTGTTTATCTTCTTTTGGTGTATGTATCATTCTTGTATGTAAAATTAGATATATGAAGTAGGGAATACTTTATGGGTTTTAAATGTGTGAATAAATGTGATCCAGGGAGGCCTCAGTCTCTGGGCAATCATATACAATAGCCTTTTGTCCTGCAACCTTAGTGGTTGGTAGGAACCGGCCAAGTGACTCCCCATACTATAAAGCAGTGTTTCTCAAACTGTGCTCCGCCAAGTCCCAGGGCTCCGCGAGACATCTCCAGGGGCTCCGGGAGGCTGACAAACTGGAAACATTGCTAGGTACAACACACACAATCAGTGGACCGCTGGGGCTCCACATAAATTTTTACGCATGTAAAGGGCTCCGGAGTCCAAAAGGTTTGAGAACTGCTGTTTTAAAGTATCAGAGGGGTAGCCGTGTTAGTCTGAATCTGCAAAAGCGACGAGGGAGTCCTGTGGCACCTTATAGACTAACTGAAGTGTAGGAGCATAAGCTTTCATGGGCAAAGACCCACTTCGCCAGATGCATGCAGTGGAAACCTCCAGAGGCAGGAATAAATATGCAGGCCAGGATCAGGCTGGGGACGACGAGGTGGATCCAATCAAGGAGGACGAGGCCCACCCCCAGCAGCCGACCCGGAAGTGCGAACTCCAAGAGAGCAGAAGCTGCCCCTGTAGCTAGCAAGCCATTCACAGCCCAGCAGTTTCCCCTCGAAGTCTGGTCCTGAAGCCTCTCCGCTGCAGGATGGCCACCCCCAGATCTGCAATTGTGTGTCCAGGAAGACCGAAGTGCTCCCCCACAGGTCCTTGCACGTTGCCACTCCTACTATCAGACCCGTGTCCACTGATTCTCCCACGTAGGGACCGTCCTGTCTGGCCG